TCAGCTCACCTGTAAAGACACACACAGATTAAAAGTGAAGGGATGGGGCTGAGCCCCTGGCGCACTCAGGAGAGTACAGCGCTGGGAGTGCAGCAGCACTCCTGCTGCGGGTTTGGATCCTATATAGGGATGACCGGTGCGCTCACAGCACTCACTGGCTGAGCGCAGTGTGGCCAGTCTCAAAAAAGGACAAAAAAAAAAAAAAAGTGAAGGGATGGGAAAAGATATACCATGCAAATGAAAAACAATAACAGGCAGGAGTAGTCATTCTTATATTGGATAAAAGACACTTTAAATCAAAAACCATAAGCAGGTACAAAGAAGGTCACTATATATAAAAAGATAAAGGGATCTGTCCAGCTAGAAGATATAACAACAATAAGTATGCTCCCCAATACTGTAGCACCCACACATATAAAGCAAACACTGTTACACTTAAAGAAAGAAATAGACTCTAATGTGTTAATAGACTCTAATGTGTGAGTGACCTGAACACTCCTCTCAGTATGGGACAGATCTTCCAGACAACACATCAACAAAGAAACACAGGATTTAGACTAAACCTTAGACCAACTAACTCGACCTTCCAGACATATACATAATATTTCACCCAACAACTACAGATTAAACATTCTTCTCATCAGCACATGGAATATTCTACAGGAGAGACCATGTATCAGGTCACAAAACTAGTCTCAAAATTTAAAAAAATTGAAATCTTTCCAATTATCTTTTCAGACCACAATGGACTAAAACTACAAATCAACAAGAAGAAAACTCTGGAAGCTATACAAATGCATGAAAACTAAGCAATAGGCTCCTGAATGAACTATGGGTCCAAAAGAAATTAAACAGGAAATAAAAAGATTTCTTGAAGCTAATGAGAATAAAGATACATCACATCAAAAGCTATGGTGTACTTCAAAAATAGTAATAAGAGAAAATTTTATTGCCATAAATGCTTACATCAAAAGAATGGAAAGACTTCAAATAAATGACCTAACACTATGCATCAAAAAAATAGAATAATAATCCAATCCTAAAAGTAGTACTCACAAGGAAATAATTAAGGTCAGGGCAGAACTAAATGAAATACAGACCCAAAAATGATAAAGAAGATAAATGAAATAGGGAAATCATTATTTAGTCTTGAGAGAGAGAGAGAGAGAGGAGAGAGAGAGAGAGAGAGAGAGAGAGAGAGAGAGAGAGAGCGAGCCTGGGTTGCATGGTCTTGTTTACCAGATTAATAAGAATAGTTTTCAGGGCACTGTGTTCAACTGAAAAAAAAAAATGTTTCCTGAGCCTTTATTTGTCACAGGTGACAGAATGTCATGAGTTCTGAAAGCAGAGGATGGGCAGAT